TGGAAGTAGTGTAGCTGGTGGTGGTGGTGGTGGTGGTGGTGGGAGCAACAGACCATGATGGTCACAGCCCGGTAGTAGTGGTTGTGAGGGTGCTGGAAGTAGTGTAGCTGGTGGTGGTGGGAGCAACAGACCATGATGGTCACAGCCCCGGTAGTAGTGGTTGTGAGGGTGCTGGAAGTAGTGTAGCTGGTGGTGGTGGGAGCAACAGACCATGATGGTCACAGCCCCGGTAGTAGTGGTTGTGACGGTGCTGGAAGTAGTGTAGCTGGTGGTGGTGGGAGCAACAGACCATGACTATGGGAGGTGATTGTGGTAGCTGTCTGGTGGTGGTAGCTGCCTCTAATGGTGGTAGCTGGTTGAATTAACCACCATATACACAATATTGTACCATAATAGACTTATTATGAACTATTATCAAGCCTGAAAGACTAGCCATCAATTTCAGTCTTCGTCAAGCCGTGGTCCCAAAGTCATAATTCTACCGGGAATCGAACCCGGAAGCCCAGGGTTTATAGTGGTATTCTAGCCACTGAGCCACTGATATATCCACCCATATAACGGGCATATTATTAACAACCATATTGGTAATTGTCACATTGATATACTTCCAATTTTAAGATATTTGTACAGTACAAGTGTGTGTACTGGGGAGTACTGGGGAGTACTGGGGAGTACTGGGGTGTACTGGGGAGTACTGGGGTGTGCTGGGGAGTACTGGGGTGTGCTGGGGAGTACTGGGGTGTGTTGGGGAGTACTGGGGTGTGTTGGGGAGTACTGGGGAGTACTGGGGTGTACTGGGGAGTACTGGGGTGTGCTGGGGAGAACTGGGGTGTGTTGGGGAGTATTGGGGTGTGTTGGGGTGTCCTGGGGAGTACTGGGGTGTGCTGGGGAGTAATGGGGTGTACTGGGGTGTACTGGGGAGTACTGGGGTGTGCTGGGGAGTACTGGGGTGTACTGGGGAGTACTGGGGTGTACTGGGGAGTACTGGGGTGTTCTGGGGTGTACTGGGGAGTACTGGGGTGTGTTGGGGAGTACTGGGGTGTACTGGGGAGTACTGGGGTGTGCTGGGGAGTACTGGGGTGTGTTGGGGAGTACTGGGGTGTGTTGGGGAGTACTGGGGTGTGTTGGGGAGTACTGGGGTGTGTTGGGGAGTACTGGGGTGTGCTGGGGAGTACTGGGGTGTGCTGGGGAGTACTGGGGGTGTATTGGGGTGTACTGGGGTGTACTGGGGAGTACTGGGGTGTGCTGGGGAGTACTGGGGTGTGCTGGGGAGTACTGGGGTGTACTGGGGTGTACTGGGGAGTACTGGGGTGTGCTGGGGAGTACTGGGGTGTGCTGGGGAGTACTGGGGTGTACTGGGGTGTACTGGGGAGTACTGGGGTGTGCTGGGGAGTACTGGGGTGTGCTGGGGAGTACTGGGGTGTGTTGGGGAGTACTGGGGTGTATTGGGGTGTTTTGGGGAGTACTGGGGTGTGTTGGGGAGTACTGGGGTGTGTTGGGGAGTACTGGGGTGTGTTGGGGAGTACTGGGGTGTACTGGGGAGTACTGGGGTGTACTGGGGAGTACTGGGGTGTACTGGGGTGTACTGGGGAGTACTGGGGTGTACTGGGGAGTACTGGGGAGTACTGGGGTGTACTGGGGAGTACTGGGGTGTACTGGGGTGTACTGGGGAGTACTGGGGTGTACTGGGGAGTACTGGGGTGTACTGGGGTGTACTGGTGAGTACTGGGGAGTTCTGGGGAGTACTGGGGTGTACTGGGGAAGTTCTGGGGTGTACTGGGGAGTACTGGGGTGTACTGGGGAGTACTGGGGTGTACTGGGGTGTACTGGGGAGTACTGGGGTGTACTGAGGAGTACTGGGGTGTACTGGGAGTACTGGGGTGTACTGGGGAGTACTGGGGTGTACTGGGGAGTACTGGGGGAGTTCTGAGGTGTACTGGGGAGTACTGTGGTGTACTGGGGAGTACTGGGGTGTACTGGGAGTACTGAGGTGTACTGGGGTGTACTGGGGGAGTTCTGGGGTGTACTGGGGGAGTTCTGGGGTGTACTGGGGAGTACTGGGGTGTACTGAGGTGTACTGGGGGAGTACTGGGGTGTTCTGGGGAGTACTGGTGTGTACTAGGGAGTACTGGGGTGTACTGGGGTGTACTGGGGAGTACTGGGGTGTACTGGGGAGTACTGGGGTGTACTGGGGAGTACTGGGGTGTACTGGGGAGTACTGGGGTGTACTGGGGTGTACTGGGGAGTACTGGGGTGTACTGGGGAGTACTGGGGTGTACTGGTGAGTATTAGGGTGTACTGGGGTGTACTGTGGAATACTGGGGAGTACTGGGGAGTACAGGAGGGTACTGGGGTGTATTGGGGGGAGTACAGTTGTCTATTGTACCGTCATTATGGGTTATTCATGCCCGTGCCACCTCTTGGCTGGCTTAACATTCATCGGTCTGTCTCGTCACTTGAGACTTAACCATGTTGGTTCTAATAATACCCATAATATATTCTACATTTAATTGTTATTATTCACTGAAACGTGTCTAAATGAAAACCTGTTGCTATTATACATCTACATATACATACAATACATATGCACCTACACATATACATGCAATATTGAACCAAATCATTAATTCTGTCTTAAATAGGAATGTTACCCCCCCCTTCCGTTTTCTATAGATGATACACGCTTCCCGTTTTCTTTAATGTTGAGGGTAGACTGCTGTCGACGGATTGTCACTGTATCACCATTTTTTATCTTATAAATCATTTAACTCAGATGTGACGATGGGTTTACCAGGCAGGATAGCACGCAAGATAGCAGGCAGGGTAACAGGCAAGATAGCTGGCAGGATAGCAGGCAAGATAGCAGGCAGGGTAACAGGCAAGATAGCTGGCAGGATAGCAGGCAAGATAGCAGGCAGGATAGCAGGCAAGATAGCAGGCAGGGTAACAGGCAAGATAGCTGGCAGGGTAACAGGCAAGATAGCTGGCAGGATAGCAGGCAAGATAGCAGGATAACAGGCAAGGTAACAGGAAGATTAGCAGACAGGCAAGATAACAGCATAACAGGCAAGATAGCAGGATAACAGGCAAGATAACAGGAAGATTAGCAGACAGGCAAGATAACAGCATAACAGGCAGGATAACAGGCAAGGTAACAGGAAGATTAGCAGGCAGGATAGCAGGCAAGATAAGACAGGATAGCAGACAGGCAAGATATCAGACAGGATGGCAGTCAAGATAACAGACAGGATAGTAGGAAAGATAACAGGCAGGATTGCAGGCAAGATGTCAGGCAGGGTAACAGGCAGGATAGCATACAGGCACGATAACAGACACGATAGCAGACAGTAAAGATAACAGGCAGGATAGCAGACAGGCAAGATAGCAGGCAGGATAACAGGAAGATTAGCAGGCAGGCAAGATAGCAAACAGGCAAAATAGCAGACAGGCAAGATAGCAAACAGGCAAGATAGCAGACAGGCAAGATAACAAGATAACAGGAAGATTAGCAGGCAAGATAGCAGACAGGCAGGATGGCAGGCAGGATAGTAGGTAAGATAACAGGCAGGATTGCACGCAAGATGTCAGGCAGGATAGCATACAGGCACAATAACAGACAAGATAACAGTCAGGATAGCACACAGACAAGATAACTGTCAGAATATCAGACAGGCAAGGTAACAGGCAGGATAGCAGACAAAATAACAGGCAGGATAGCAGACAGGCAAGATAACAGGCAGGATAGCAGGCAAGATAGCAGACAAGAAAACAGACAGGCTAGCAGGCAGGTTAGCAGACAGGCACGATAACAAGCAGGACAACAGACAGGAAGATAGTAGACAGGTAAGATAACAGACAGGATAGCAAGCAAGATAACAGGCAGGATAGCAAGCAAGATAACAGGCAGGGTAATAGGAAGGATAGCAGGCACGATAACAGGCAGGATAGCAGACAGGCAAGATAACAGGCAGGGTAACAGACAGGCAAGATAACAGGGTAACAGACTGGGTAACAGACAAGATAGCAGCCACTAACCACACCACCTGTTATCCTCCCCCGGGACAGGTTAGATTAGGGTAACAGGCAGGATAAGAGACAAGATAGCAGCCACTAACCCCACCACCTGTTATCCTCCCCCGGGACAGGTTATCAGACAAGATAGTAACCCCACCATCTGTTATCCTCCCCCGGGCAAGATAAGAGACAAGATAGCAGCCACTAACCCCACCACCTGTTATCCTCCCCCGGGACAGGTTATCAGACAAGATAGTAACCCCACCATCTGTTATCCTCCCCCGGGCAAGATAAGAGACAAGATAGCAGCCACTAACCCCACCACCTGTTATCCTCCCCCGGGACAGGTTAGATTAGGGTAACAGGCAGGATAAGAGACAAGATAGCAGCCACTAACCACCTGTTATCCTCCCCCGGGACAGGTTAGGTTAGGGTAACAGGCAGGATAAGAGACAAGATAGCAGCCACTAACCCCACCACCTGTTATCCTCCCCCCGGGTAAGATAAGAGACAAGATAGCAGCCACTAACCCCACCACCTGTTACCCGGGGGGGAGGATAAGATAAGAGACAAGATAGCAGCCACTAACCCCACCACCTGTTATCCTCCCCCCCGGGTAAGATAAGAGACAAGATAGCAGCCACTAACCACCTGTTATCCTCCCCCCCCGGGACAGGTTATCAGACAAGATAGTAACCCCACCACCTGTTATCCTCCCCCGGGACAGGTTAGGTTAGGGTAACAGGCAGGATAAGAGACAAGATAGCAGCCACTAACCCCACCACCTGTTATCCTCCCCCCCCCGGGTAAGATAAGAGACAAGATAGCAGCCACTAACCCCACCACCTGTTATCCTCCCCCCCCCCGGGTAAGATAAGAGACAAGATAGCAGCCACTAACCCCACCACCTGTTATCCTCCCCCCCCGGGTAAGATAAGAGACAAGATAGCAGCCACTAACCACCTGTTATCCTCCCCCCGGGACAGGTTATCTTCTACGACTCGGACTGGAACCCGACGGTGGACCAGCAAGCGATGGACCGGGCCCACAGACTGGGACAGACCAAACAGGTGACCGTGTACCGCCTCGTGTGCAAGGCCACTATTGAGGAGCGCATTCTGCAGCGGGCCCGGGAGAAGAGTGAGGTGAGGCACCTTAAGAGTCATGTTAAGAGTCATCTTAAGTCATCTTAATTGTCATCTTAAGAGTCGTGTTAAGAGTCACCTTAAGAGTCATGTTAAGAGTCATCTTAAGTCATCTTAATTGTCATCTTAAGAGTCGTGTTAAGAGTCACCTTAAGAGTCATCTTAAGAGTCACCTTAAGAGTCATCTTAAGAGTCACCTTAAGAGTCATCTTAAGAGTCATCTTAAGAGTCACCTTAAGAGGCACCTTAAGATTAACTAAGATTCATTAGGAATAATATTAAGACACTGTACCCCAGGGTACAGTCCTGGCACCACTGTACCCCAGGGTACAGTCCTTGTACCACTGTACCCCAGGGCACAGTCCTGGCACCACTGTACCCCAGGGTACAGTCCTGGCACCGCTGTACCCCAGGGTACAGTCCTGGCATTACTGTACCCCAGGGTACAGTCCTTGTACACTGTACCCCAGGGTACAGTCCTGGCATCACTGTACCCCAGGGTACAGTCCTTGTACCACTGTACCCCAGGGTACAGTCCTGGCATCACTGTACCCCAGGGTACAGTCCTTGTACCACTGTACCCCAGGGCACAATCCTTGTAACACTGTACCCCAGGGTACAGTCCTTGTACCACTGTTCCCCAGGGTACAGTCCTGGCACTACTGTATCCCAGGGTACAGTCCTGGCACCACTGTACCCCAGGGTACAGTCCTGGCACCACTGTACCCCAGGGCACAGTCCTGGTATCACTGTACCCCAGGGTACAGTCCTGGCATCACTGTACCCCAGGGTACAGTCCTGGTATCACTGTACCCCAGGGTACAGTCCTGGCATCACTGTACCCCAGGGTACAGTCCTGGCATCACTGTACCCCAGGGTACAGTCCTGGCATCACTGTACCCCAGGGTACAGTCCTGGCATCACTGTACCCCAGGGTACAGTCCTGGTATCACTGTACCCCAGGGTACAGTCCTTGTACCACTGTACCCCAGGGTACAGTCCTTCTACCACTGTACCCCAGGGCACAGTCCTTGTACCACTGTATCCCAGGGTACAGTCCTGGCATCACTGTACCCCAGGTTACAGTCCTTGTACCACTGTACCCTAGGGTACAGTCCTTGTACCACTGTACCCCAGGGTACAGTCCTTGTACCACTGTACCCCAGGGTACAGTCCTTGTACCACTGTACCCCAGGGTACAGTCCTGGCATCACTGTACCCCAGGGTACAGTCCTTGTACCACTGTACCCCAGGGTACAGTCCTTGTACCACTGTACCCCAGGGTACAGTCCTTGTACCACTGTACCCCAGGGTACAGTCCTTGTACCACTGTACCCCAGGGTACAGTCCTGGCATCACTGTACCCCAGGGTACAGTCCTGGCATCACTGTACCCCAGGGTACAGTCCTGGCATCACTGTACCCCAGGGTACAGTCCTGGCACCACTGTACCCCAGGGCACAGTCCCTGTACCACTGTACCCCAGGGCACAGTCCTTGTACCACTGTACCCCAGGGTACAGTCCTTGTACCACTGTACCCCAGGGTACAGTTCTGGCATCACTGTACCCCAGGGTACAGTCCTTGTACCACTGTACCCCAGGGCACAGTCCTTGTACCACTGTACCCCAGGGTACAGTCCTTGTACCACTGTACCCCAGGGTACAGTCCTGGCACCACTGTACCCCAGGGTACAGTCCTTGTACCACTGTACCCCAGGGTACAGTCCTTGTACCACTGTACCCCAGGGCACAGTCCTTGTACCACTGTACCCCAGGGCACAGTCCTTGTACCACTGTACCCCTGGGTACAGTCCTTGTACCACTGTACCCCAGTGCACAGTCCTTGCACCACTGTACCCCAGGGCACAGTCCTGGCACCACTGTACCCCAGGGCACAGTCCTTGTACCACTGTACCCCAGGGCACAGTCCTGGCACCACTGTACCCCAGGGCACAGTCCTTGTACCACTGTACCCCAGGGTACAGTCCTTGTACCACTGTACCCCAGGGCACAGTCCTTGTACCACTGTACCCCAGGGCACAGTCCTTGTACCACTGTACCCCAGGGCACAGTCCTTGTACCACTGTACCCCAGGGCACAGTCCTTGTACCACTGTACCCCAGGGTACAGTCCTTGTACCACTGTACCCCAGGGCACAGTCCTTGTACCACTGTACCCCAGGGCACAGTCCTTGTACCCTGTACAGGGCACAGTCCTTGTACCCCAGGGCACAGTCCTTGTACCCTGTACCCCAGGGTACAGTCCTTGTACCACTGTACCCCAGGGTACAGTCCTTGTACCACTGTACCCCAGGGTACAGTCCTTGTACCACTGTACCCCAGGGCACAGTCCTTGTACCACTGTACCCCAGGGCACAGTCCTTGTACCACTGTACCCCAGGGTACAGTCCTTGTACCACTGTGCCCCAGTGCACAGTCCTTGTACCACTGTACCCCAGGGCACAGTCCTGGCACCACTGTACCCCAGGGCACAGTCCTTGTACCACTGTACCCCAGGGCACAGTCCTGGCACCACTGTACCCCAGGGCACAGTCCTTGTACCACTGTACCCCAGGGTACAGTCCTTGTACCACTGTACCCCAGGGCACAGTCCTTGTACCACTGTACCCCAGGGCACAGTCCTTGTACCACTGTACCCCAGGGCACAGTCCTTGTACCACTGTACCCCAGGGCACAGTCCTTGTACCACTGTACCCCAGGGTACAGTCCTTGTACCACTGTACCCCAGGGCACAGTCCTTGTACCCCAGGGCACAGTCCTTGTACCCCAGGGCACAGTCCTTGTACCACTGTACCCCAGGGTACAGTCCTTGTACCCCAGGGCACAGTCCTTGTACCACTGTACCCCAGGGCACAATCATAGGATGTAAAGATTAAGAGGGGCAGGAGGCGCTGCTCCCCCCTATTTTAGCCCCCCAGTAACCCCCCCCCTTCCCCTAAACCCCCCTAGTGTGTGTCTGTATGTATAATATTGGTTCTCTCTCTCCCCCTTACAGGTAAGTGGGCGGCAGTGACCATACATGTCTACCTGTCCCCGTCGGTAAGTCCCCCCCCCCTAACGAGGGGGGTTTGCCCCCCTTGGTTATAATGAGGGGGGCAGTGGAAGCGACTCGCAATATTGGAAAAAATCACACATTATATACAAAGAAAGTTGAGAGGCGGGACCAAAGAGCCAGAGCTCAACCCCCGCAGCACAACTAGGTGAGTACAAGGTCTGAATTCAAATTCAATAAATAAAGTTTAATTCATAATTGGTCATTTATAGAGTAGAATTCAATATTTTTAATTAAAAAATTTGAATTCAACTTCAGTTATTCAACCAATTATTTGAATTCAATTTCAAGCAGTTACGCAAGCACTTACGAACCTGGGCCCAGATTCACGAAGTAGTTACGCAAGCACTTGCGAACCTGGGCCCAGATTCACGAAGCAGTTACGCAAGCACTTACGAACCTGGGCCCAGATTCACGAAGCAGTTACGCAAGCACTTACGAACCTGAGGCCAGATTCACGAAGCAGTTACGCAAGCACTTACGAACCTGGGGCCAGATTCACGAAGCAGTTACGCAAGCACTTACGAACCTGGGCCCAGATTCACGAAGCAGTTATGCAAGCACTTACGAACCTGGGGCCCAGATTCACGAAGCAGTTACGCAAGCACTTGCGAACCTGAGGCCAGATTCACGAAGCAGTTACGCAAGCACTTACGAACCTGGGGCCAGATTCACGAAGCAGTTACGCAAGCACTTACGGACCTGGGGGCCAGATTCACGAAGTAGTTACGCAAGCACTTACGAACCTGGGCCCAGATTCACGAAGTAGTTACGCAAGCACTTACGAACCTGGGGCCCAGATTCACGAAGCAGTTATGCAAGCACTTGCGAACCTGTGGCCAGATTCACGAAGCAGTTACGCAAGCACTTACGAACCTGTGGCCAGATTCACGAGGTAGTTACGCAAGCACTTACGGACCTGGGGCCAGATTCACGAAGCAGTTACGCAAACACTTACGAACCTAGGGCCAGATTCACGAAGTAGTTACGCAAGCACTTACGAACCTGGGGCCAGATTCACGCAGTAGTTACGCAAGCACTATGAACCTGGGGCCAGATTCACGAAGTAGATATGCAAGCACTTACGAACCTGGGGGCCAGATTCACGAGGCAGTTACACAAGCACTTACGAACCTGAGGGCCAGATTCACGCAGTAGTTACGCAAGCACTATGAACCTGGGGCCAGATTCACGAAGTAGATATGCAAGCACTTACGAACCTGGGGGCCAGATTCACGAGGCAGTTACACAAGCACTTACGAACCTGAGGGCCAGATTCACGAAGCAGTTACACAAGCACTTACGAACCTGGGGCCAGATTCACGAAGCAGTTACGCAAGCACTTGCGAACCTGGGGCCAGATTCACGAGGTAGTTACGCAAGCACTTACGGACCTGGGGCCAGATTCACGAAGTAGTTACGCAAGCACTTACGGACCTGGGGCCAGATTCACGACACAGGGTACAGGACACAGGGTACAGGACACATGATACAGAACACAGGGTACAGGACACATGGTACAGAACACATGGTACAAGACACAGGGTACAGGACACAGGGTACAGGACACAGGGTACAGGACACTGGGTACAGGACACAGGGTACAGGACACAGGGTACAGGACACAGGGTACAAGACACAGGGTACAGGACACAGGGTACAGGACACAGGGTACAAGACACAGGGTACAGGACACAGGGTACAGGACACAGGGTACAGGACACAGGGTACAGGACACAGGGTACAGGACACAGGGTACAGGACACAGGGTACAGAACACAGGGTACAGGACACAGGGTACAGGACACATAATACAGGACACAGGGTACAGGACACATGGTACAGGACACGGGGTACAGGACACATGATACAGGACATAGGGTACAGAACACATGATACAGGACACAGGGTACAGGACACATGATACA